GTTTTTCTGGGTTTCCCCTAAGTGTCCTTGGATATATAGTTGCATAACATTTTGAAATATTAGACTTTTTCTGTTAGTCTAGTTTAAAATATTTTTGTTAGTTTGATATATTTTAATAGGAGGTGTTAAATTAAGGCATACCTCATAGCTACAGATTGAGACATGTCCGGGCTGAGGGTGCATTGGCCTGTACAGTTTACGGGCTGTTAGCTTGGATATCTTTGAGGTACAATTTATTTTAATGGGGGTACAAAATAGTACAAAATAGGTACTAAATAGTAGCATAGCTTATAATAACCACAGGTTACGACATGACGTGGCTGAGGGGCCATGGACCTGTACAGTTTACGGGCCCGTAGCTTGGTTTTCTTTGATGTACAAATTATATTGATGGAGGTACAAAATAGTACGAAATAGGTACTAAATGATGGTATACATATTAGGATCAAATTCTAAAATGGCCGGGCCAGTGACACGCTGGCTCGGAATCCTAAATTAATTAGTCATCCGGTACCGAGTGAGGTACTAATTTTTTGTTTGTTGGTACTAAATAGTTCGAAATAGGTTCTAAACAGTACTAGCATAATTCTTATGTACTGATTCTGTCATGGCCGGGCCAGTGACATGGACGTGTCTAAATTCCAGGTTGGAGCAAACGCAAACTAAAATGAGTAAAACTATTTTTTTCCGTTTCCGTTTTTGTGATGCAAATAAAATACCGGTGTTTATAAAATAAGTTATTGTATCAAGCCCTTATTTATAGATCTTAAAGGAGAATTCCTATTGTATATCTTGGCCAAAATATCTGTTGAACAACAACATAAAATAAATACTAGGTTTCAATGGGACTCCGTTATGGCACGGCCACTTTTAACTACAGGTCGCGGCCTGGTAGAATTGGCAACGTCGCAAGTGGTGTTGTTTAGTGACAGACGTGTCCCATAAGATAACATGGCAGACAGGTGACATCAGCTCATCTATCCTCACTTTATTGATTTAAATTTAAATTTATGAACCTAAATTAATTAAAATATTGAAAATAAAACGTACAGAATTAAAAACCAAAACAGTATGAATTGAAAATCTATATCTGTACATTTTTAAGTGGAGTCAATATTGTTATAGTCCAGTAACCAATCTTTCGTAAACACACAAATTAATACCATTAGCTGCTACCAAACAAAACAGCTGTTACAACACCACTTGCGACGTTGCCACTTCGAAGGCCGCCGCGGCCTGGAGTTAAAGGTGGCCGTGGTTATGGTGTCGTACTGGAGACCTTCAAGTCGTATTTGACTGCAAGGGCGGTCCTAGACATATATTTGGGGGGGGGGTCATCGGGGGGCCTGGGGTTATGGAATACCCCCCAGTAAAAGAGGGGGGTCCGGGGGTTCCCCCCCCCCGGGAAAAATTTGGAAATAACGTGCTAAAATGAGTGGTTTTTAAGCTATTTTGAGGACCTAGTTTAATGTGTTTAAGCTTCCCAGTTTATTTAAAGGTCAAAGAAATGTCTAAAAATAAACTTGTATAATGTCATGTTTTTGCATTATTGAGACTTGTGGTTTTGATATCAAAGGAATACCGCAACATTACAACACATTCAAGCATTATTGATTTACGAAAACACCCTTTCAACTGGTGCCGATGTGCATGCTAAACAGAAAATGTCCAAAATCAGACCAAGATTTCAAAAAAGAGAACTTATTTTATCTTTTATCTAAGAAGTGTTTAAGAACTTGCACCAAACACGACTGCATTATACCTGCCCAGTAAGCAACAGTTAACCTACACAAAGTACACTACCCAACTAACGTTGCGTCGGCGTCCCGTCATTGCTACCGCCTGAAGAATTGGTTCTCAGTGTTCTCATTTTTTTCTACGCCGGTGCCAGTGGCATTTTACAAGGGGTCAACGTGAGAATAAAGTTTTTGTGCAACGTTTTTGTGGTTGTGCCGGGAATTAAATCCGTCCCTTTCGCATCTAAGTCTGAGATACTACCATTTTGTTGTTGTTTTGTGGCTAGCAACATGCCTATTGGGTTGTGTTATTCTTAAATATGATACCAGGTGCTCTAAATATGAATACTATTTAATATTGAAAGATTGAAAGTTTTGAAATTTGCTACGGTAATCATTGAATTACATTACTGTAATTACAAATTCCTAACGCTGAACTCAGATAAATTAATATTCAACTACCTTTCAAACTTTGACTATTGATACAACTTCTTTTCTTTATCCAATACCCAATTCAAGTTTTCAATCATCTGGGTTAAAATGAATCTATACTTATTTAATACGCAAACAGATTTTTTGTGACAATTGCTCCTCCGAAACTACTGAACCGATTGACATGTTTTTGGTGTCATTGGAAAGAGCGTATAACGTGAAGTTGTGTAGGAAACTTTCTTTTTAGGGAAATAATGAGAGAGTGAGGCCATGGAGCCCTTTAAAGTTTCGTATTTCTCCATAAGATTAAGATTGTTATGAAACTCCAGCTGTTGTCACAAATCAAAAGTGAGAAGAAGAGCATATGTTAGTTGTAAACAGTCAATAAGTTTGCTAATCTAACATTTTGCTACAAACTTGCTGACTTGGTTGAAATTCGTTTTAAAATAACGCCTGTAATACTTAGCAATTGCGCTCGAATTCGAGCAACAGGGACACTAGTTATAACATTAAATGCCGAAAAATTAAATAAGAAGAAGAATGCAGCCGAAAAATATTTTGGGGGGGGGGTCATGACCCCCCTGACCCCCCCCCCCTGGGACCGCCCTTTAGGCCTAACTGCCACAGTGAGAGTAATAGTGACACTAACTCATTACTCTCACTGTGGCAGTTAATAGTGGCTGTAATTTTAATGAAATCCCTGTAAAAAAAATCAATAAATTGTATTAGCTAATTTTGGTTGCACTTCCATATAAGACCTGTGGCACAGCAACATGGAAGTATTTAGTGTAAAGTAATTTTGTCATCTAACGGAACTTTGAAACCTAACTATACCTGATTTAGTATTATATTATTTTTACTTTGATTACTACCAGGGGCCCATTTCATAATAAACTACAAGTTACAAGTTACAACTTGTAACTTGTAATTTCTATTAGATTTGCATTGGGCGATCAGCTGATTTACTAATAATATTAGTTTGTACTTTATTATGAAATGGGCCCCTGGTTATTACCTGGTTTCAGCGCAAGTGTAGCCTTGATTTTTAAATTTTTACAGCTCATTTCAGTAGAAGCGAATTATTATCTCACACTCACAGTTTTGTCTAGTTTGGTTTAATCTTGGTTGGTTTTTTGATTGAAACAGTTAATAAATCTGAATCAGTAAGGACCACCTCTTACTTTTTAAATCGAGTAATGTTATAAAAAGACTAAGGCCTTTTTTTGTTTCAGACTCCAATTGAACCCATGGAGATTAAGACGCCAAGACAAAGCACAGGGAAAATCAAACGGACATCAGCCAAATCCACCACAGCAAACACACTCAAATTGATAGTTCAGTTTCTCCAATGAAAAAAACTCCAAATGTAATGACCTAAAAGGCCATGTCACACCAACATCTGCCGCTCCCGCCGCGGGAGTACCGCGCGCGGATGTTTTTCCTCGAACCATGTCACACCAAAAGTTTGCGTCCGCGGAGGGAGTTTTGAGATGAGTTAATTACAATATTCGTTTTACATAAGAAACTCATCTTGTTTAGTATGCCATGTAAATTTGCAGGTTTTAAGAAAAGTGCTTAAGAAGCAATTGAATGTTTATTAATTTGTTAGTGTAGGGCTACTTTAAAAAGTAAATAATTATTTTTTAAAATTTAATTTAGACCTTGTGTTTGAAGCGTTTTAAATATGGTTGAGGATAAATGATCCACTTTCAGCATTTTGAACGTTATTTTTCGCTACACTACAAAGACTATTTACTTTTTAAATAAAAACATGTGACCATTTTAAAACTAATGTAATTTTTTGCTAAGCCTTCTATTGAAAGTTCAAGTTTACATTGATTGTAAAGTTTTGGTTCTTGCAAATCGAAAAATATAAGCTTACTTAATATACTTAATATAATATAAGCTATTTTGAAATTTATTTAATTACCCTTAAAATGGTGATTCTAATCTAGTAAGGAATAATTTCTGGTATTGTGTCTTTAAAAGTCTGATATAACAAATTCAAGAATTTTGTAAATGTAGCCTATTTGTGAGTGAATCAGAATCATAGCCTACAGTAATAGGCCTTAAAATGCATTCATGGTTCACCTTAAAAGGCGTTCATGGTCATGCCTTAATAAAATAATATATTTCTTTTATTTGCTTTTACATACAGTTCTGCAGTGCTAACAGATTGTTATAATAAAAATTATTTGAACTGTATAAAAAAAACTACATATCCTATTACTTTTAGTTAGAAACGTTAAAGTATGATTTTTAGCCAGGATATATACTCTCTAGTTATAAAACAAAGGAATGCTTGCCATACTAGAAGCTTGATTATAAATATGTTTAGAATTTTCGTCCCTAAGAACTGAATATGCAATGAAAACCTACTCACGGTTCAGATGATCTAATGCAATTTATCATGTAGATATATTACATGTACGGTATCTCTGAATTGTTGGCTATGTCAGGTAATTGCAAATAAATACTAGTATTAACAGAAATGTTATCACCACAAAACGCATTTATTTAACTTTTTTCAAGTAAGAACTCGAAGGTTGAACATGAGCTATCAGCATCAGCCCATTTTATTAACATGCAATTTTAAATTTCGCGCCAACTCCGGCATCACGCAATCATGGGCATTTGATACGACGGGGTGAAGCGGTGAAGGCGGGGGTGGTGTTACGAGAGATAAGGCTTCGTCAACACTACACAACTACAATCAATCGCATCGATAGTAGATGATGTCGTGGTTCGATACGAACGTAACGATAGTCGCGAAATCGCATGGCGTTTTTAGAGGAAAAAGTGCTCACCTATTGGTAGATGCTGAGGAAACGATCAGCTGATAAACGAACACGATCTACACTACACGTCTTGTTTATAAACCTAAACCTGCCTAGTGCGGTAGTGCCTATTTATTTAGGCAGGCAGGCTAGAGGCTAGCTCTAGCTAGATTTTATTCTAGTGTTTATTCAGTCTAACGCAAGTCGTCAAATATTGTGGCGATCACTGAATTTTTAGTTTTATCAATTTTTATAAACAATTTTCTGTTCTGGTTTTATATTAGGTCTACCATAGTCTTCAGTTTTTAACTTTGTGCAAGTAGGTAATTTTTAAACATTGTGGTGTGGCACTGGTGACAGTGGGTGTAAGAAGGTGTAATGTGTTGTTGTGTTTAGTGTTTAGTGTCATAAGGAAGAGTGTTGTAGATTTTCTAGACCACATTTGGTAAAATTTGATGATGTCATCCACGAAGATCTTTATTTATTTATATTGTTAGTTGTTGTTTTATTATTTCAAAAAACAATTATTATACACCGTAAAAGTAAGTCAGTAGCTGCATCAAAACGAAAGAACATTGAAATAAAACAGCGAACCTAACCTTAATAAATGGTAGCCTAGTGGAGTTTCTTTCTCTTAGTTCATAACTCACAAAACAATGAACAAAGTAAAATCCAGGTCTGCTGCTTTTAATAGTTATAAATGGCTAAGTGGTCGTGAAATAGGTTGCAAGCCTTCAATTGGAGTTCAAGACAACTTTATGAAAAGCCTTTACTCAAATATTATGCCTTGTTCAACTTGGGACTACAGTGACTCCACTCAACACTCAATGCCTGGTGGTGTTTTCAACTTAGAATTTTCTCCTGATGGGTGAGTTAAAACATAATTTTCAATCAACCCTAAGTTACCTAGGCCTACCTATTCTATGATACCACAGAGGAAGTTATTCATGTACATTTCCTACTATTAGGCCTACCTAGAAGTTTAAAATACCATAAACTTAGATCATTAAATTAAAATTCATTGTTGTAGCCCCGGAACTGTATTACCTAACTTATATATTAAATTTTTTTTAACTTACATTGCCTTATCATATACAGCGTGTCGTGTGCTAAAAAGAAGCTATTTGAGCAAATTTAATGTATATTCCTGGAATGAAGTGTTTGACAATGGCAGCTCGCTGAAACATGTAAGTTAACACTTAAACAAAGATCAATATTTGGAACAGATAAAGGTACCGGTAACTTAAATGTAAAATCAATCTATATATTAATAGGCAAGCATGTTTCTTTAAGTTTAACCCTCCAAGTGTCTCTAGTTTTTGTCTTAATGTTCGCCCATTTATTGCACAATCGCAGGGTTTTATTAAAATGTATCTTAGAACCTTAAACATAATGTAGGCTAAAGTATACTGTTATATAACTTATATCATTTTGTTTGGAAAATTATGGGCTTCAATGTAACATATAAAACATTACAAAAAAAATGTTCAAAAATTTTTGTAGGGTTAACATTTCTCAAAAATTATAAAATAAATGAAAACAATTTATGTGTGCGCTCAATAAATTGTTATAATTTATATAGGTCTACAAATATTTTAAAATAGCTACTTACTTTGTTCATAATTTTTACGAGGATTCCAAAAATATAACAATAATAACCCTCCGAGTGTCCAGTGGCGGTTCTAGGACCTTGTCAAGGGGGGGCTACCGGGGCGCTTGGGGGGTGGGGAGCACCCCACAATAAAGCAGGGGGGTCCGGGAAAATTTGGAATTTTCAAAGCCGTTTAGTGACTTTCTAAAGCCATTTTTAACACCTAGAAGCGTGTCCAATTGTCCATAAACTCACATTTCACCTGTTGTTTGTCATGAGCAAATAGACATAATAAAAATTGAACAATGACGATTGCATTCACGAATTTCAAAACATACTGTAGACTACGGCCATATCATCCTAAAAGCCGTTGGGTGACTATACAGTCAGTTTTAACGTCTAGAACTGTGTGAAAAACCTCCCATTTTCCCATTTATTTGTCATGAATAAGTAGACATTTTTAAAACTAACTATGACGATTGCATTCATAAATCTCAAAACATATTGTAGGCTACGGCCATATCCCCCTAAGAGTTGTTTACTAACTTTCTAAAGCCATTATTAATGTCTACATCTGTACAAAAACCTCCCATTTTTCACCCGTTATTTGTCTTTGTCAAGAGCAAGTAGACATTTAAAAAATCAAACTATGACGAATTTCAAAACATAGGCCTACTGTAGATTAATAAAGTCATATGTCCTAAAAGCCGTTTGGTGACTTTATAAAGCCATTTCTAACGTCTAGAACTGTGCAAAATTGTTCTAAAACCTTTAAAACCTCACCTGTTAAATGTCACGAAAAGCAAGTAGGCAGACACGTTTTTTAACCTTACGTTTTTCTCCATTTCATGGATCTGTCACAATTGTATAGTATCGAATTCAGTAAGACTATATAAACTAAACACTAGCTTAGTCAATGGTAATAGGCTACTGGCTATTGGTGCTACCGCTGATTGCTGATTGATGCCTGTGTTTAAGCAATAGCTTAAAGTTATAGTGGCTAGCAGACAATTTGACAACTATGGAACATCAGGAAATCAGCTGTTTCCCCGTCCTCGCTCGCGCGTTAGATGCTCCCGCCTTGGCCCTGTCAACAGCTGACTGCTGTAAAAATATGATCATGCGTACAACCAAGGCCCCACTAGAAAAAACTGTTTTTCTAGTGGGGCCTTGGTACAACTTCCATAGCGTAATTTTGTTTTATTCGTTGTGCTATATTGTCGACAAAGTTTATCTATGAGGAACTTAATACTGCTCCTGCCATCGCATATGTATAATAAAAAGTATAATAAAAACTACATTGATGTCTGTATGACATTGCGTGTTTTAAGGACGAAATGCACGTTTAAATTTATTTTTTTCAGGGTCCAAGGGGGGAGCTTTAGCCCCTGTAGCCCCCCCCTTGGAACGGCCCTGCGAGTGTCCATAGTTTAGGTCTTAATGTCCGCCTATTTTTGGCGCATTTGCAAGGTTTTATTGAAACGGATCTGAGAAGCTTAAAACAATGTTAATTCTACTGTTCTATATACCATTTTGTTTGGAAAATCATGGGCTTCAATATTATACATAAAACATAAGGAACATAAGTTTCAAAAAATTTTTTTAGGTAGGCCAAAAAAAATAGCCTATTAGAAAATTTTCAAAAAAAAAATATGTTCGCGCTCAATGAAATTGTATAAATTATAGGCCTATAAATATTTGAAAATAGCCACTTTGTTCTAAATTTTATGAGGATTACAAAAATATATAATAATTTAAGGAAGTAGATTTGCAAATAAATAAGTTATGGGCAAAAAACAGATTTCGGTACATAGCGTTTAGCTAAGAATGCATAGCCTAACCATAGCTAGGAATCTGGCTGATAATTTACATCAATATCACTACCTACTTCTTCAGGATCATCAACCAGCCCTTCAAAATCACTTAAATCTTCTTATAATGCATCACGTATATCACTACTTTTGATTTTTAACACTAAAACAAGGATAAACGTAATAAAACACATCAGTCATCGGTGCGAGGTTAACCAAGCTGTTTACAAATACGCACGTCAGCTGTCTGCTACAATTATGATCAGCTCGAGAAAAAAAAAGCGCTTAGAGACAGACCTCGGGAGAAAGCTTAGAATCTGCCAAAAAAAACTATACCTAACTCGATCCAGTTCAATCCGATTTAGTCAGTCATAGAGCCTTCGCCGTTAACAGTGTTTGTGAGTCGCAAAAGCGACACATAACACTACAGCGGATGTGTTATGAGTCGCTTTTACGACACATAACACTCGGAGGGTTAAAACCTTTTTGGCTCCACTTTAGTAACTTATCTGTCCTACCTCATACGAATGAATATAAGTTAACTTATGGATCGATGTAGGCCTATCGATTATTTCATTCGATAGCCTATATAAAGTTTGGTTAGTTAGTTATCGATATATCGAATAATCTATAGGCTATATTGATATTTTTCATTCAGATGAGTGTAGGACAGATAGGTACTAAAGTGCCTTTTTTCTCAGCTTGTTTGCATTGCAGGGAAAATCTACGCAAACTGTTAAAAATATATTTTCCTGTAGATGTGCAGAATACCTATAAATTAAAATAGGCTTAAAAAAAGCGCAAAAAATGAATTTAAAACTTTTAAAAATTAATATGGGCTTTATGGGTTGTTATGCTAGTGACGAGATAACAACGAAATATAGGCTAAACAGAAAATCAAAACAAATGGAAGAAAATCCAATCTAAGTAGGCCTAATATGTTTTATTTAGGCCCTACAGTGTGGGGTGAAAATAGAGAAGCCTGTAACTTAAGTTACAGCTAGATATTTTTGCTAGAAACGGTTAAGGTGGGGTGGAATATCATTAAAGATGGACCTTTTAGGTTGTAGTGCGATCATGTGTTCATACATGTCAAATTTTGAGTTTAAATAAAAAAAAACTGGCATAGGCCTAGCCTATATTCTTGGAATTGGTTAGGTACACTTCTACTTTTATAAAATCACTTGGCCATTTCAGAGAATATTTACTGTGGAATAGAGTCGTGGTTCCTAATTCGAAATCAACTAGATGGTGAAGTGGGGTGGATGCAACCATGAAGAAAGTATGGCCACGGCTGCTTAAATGTAGCTAAAAAATGACATGAATGATATTTTTGACTGCATATATTGATACATATTATTGGTATGAGTTGTCATTTTCATAGGTAGTAGGTTGGTATATCCGGCCAAATCGTTATCCGGCCAGGGGCTTGGTTCTGTGGGTGGACGGATATGAGGGGTTCTACTGTACAGCGAAAAAGGTTTTCTCGATATCCCACTGCTTCTAACTTAGCTAAAGAAATTCAACTATACATTAAACTTAGCCTACTTATTTTTGGTCGAGTTTTCGACCACTGGATGACCTCTAGTTCAATATTAAATTAATCCTAAGCCCTACTAGCCTACTTAATCTTTGAAGCATATGGCCCAAACAAATAGTAGTGGTAACTTAATTATATCGATGACGGACGTCACGTTAAAATAATATTTTTGTCTTTATTATTGCTAAATAACGTCCTGAATTCAAAAATTATTGTCGATCTATTTAAGGCTATAAGGTGGATTTCAGATTAACCAAACTTTTATTTATAAACACTTTCCCAATTCTTTTACTGTAGGCCTAGACCTACTTGGTTTTTACTTTACTTAAAATTGATGTCCTAGAATAGTTAACAAGTGATTTTAGAACGTTTAGGCTAACTTAAGCTGAGGTTTGGGTCCTAAAGTAAGTAAACTACCTTTACTTTATCTATAATTGCTGATTCACTATTGTCTCTGATCACTTTGTGTTGTCCAAAGGTCAATGGGACATCCGCAAGAATAACACAAACACATCAAACAAAAATTTACAATTCATTCCAATATCAAACGATATTATGTTAGTAGGCTACTCTCCACGTTAGAGACCCTCTTTAGAGGATCTTTGGAGTTGCAAATAAACTTCCAGTTGCTTGACGTGTTGTTGAAAACAATCAGCTGTAGGCTTACTTCACCCACAGTTCATTCCACTTGTAAATGTTATCCGTCCTACCTTGTTTATTCATACATTTTATTTGAACGGCGATATCTTTAGTAATATTCATCAGTGGTGAAAAATAATGGTATATTTGGATTCAGGAGGTAAAAAATATTAATTAAGATAACAAAATTAAAAATCTTTTGGAGGCGCTTAGGCATATATTTAAAAGCCAAGTAACTTTGACTTCTGCATTCCATCAACCCATATATCTGCTGACCAAATAACATA